TTTTTTTCCGTCTGCATTGGACTGTTTCGAGAACAAGAGGAATTAAAAAACACAAAATTCAAACAGTACATCGACTCGGCACTACCGTTTCGTTTGGGAATACAATTTGTCGGAAATGCTGCCGTGAAATTTCATTGAGAGTGTTGTTTAAACAGACTCTAGTATTCTGTTTTATTCGTTTATGCTTTTTGGAAGTCTTGTTTTCTGTTTTTAAGGCAGCAGTAATATAGAGATGCACTGTCTTCTCCGAAATCTCCGTCTTTGCTGATCAGCTTTCTACATTTGGGACGTTGACGTTACGTTGAGCGATAATTTAGTTTTGGAAAGAAGAGCTAGTGGTTTAAAACCCTATTATATATATGTAGTCGGTAATTGCTCGTAAAAACTACTGTAACTGTAGAAGTTTTGATTACCAGAATCATCAGTTAGGAGCTTGACGACCACATTGGCATTTCATTTGTAATATTACGTCTAAGAAATTTTTCATTCACATTTTTCCTTCATTTCTGTCAATTTCATAGTTCTTCGTTACTAAAAATTTCATTTCTTCCCCTTTTTTTGCCCCTAAACTTCTTGATTTTGTAATTCTAATTTTCGGTGTTTATAGACGTCGTACGAGTAATTTAACTGTATTATTTTTGTCGAGCACTTGTAGTTTGAACATCGATTAGACGAAAAAGTTCTACCTCTTTTGAAGTTAGCTATTTTCCAGCAGCGATCTATACCTTTATATTTTTTCAGTAACATCTTGTTCGAGGCCTCTGCCTCAGGGCTGAACACTTTGCGCATCATTTGCGCAATTTAGCACCATCGTAAAGGTCGATAGACTGAGTAACTACGCTGTTATTTTTAGCTACCGTATTTGCATTTTTTTTTACGATCACCTCTGCACTCAATAAATACGTGTAATTTTGGCAGCAATAACTGTAAGAGTAATTTTTTTGAACTGTATTTGGTATATTAATGATAATTTGAAATTTATACTGACACAGTGATTACGTTAGCGTAAGGGTTTTTCAGGATTTGTTGCGAACAATGTCTATCACAGTCCGTACGGGAAGTAATGCCTCTGAAATTTCGGGTGCTGATGCTTTTAAAAGTCAACGTGTTGTCGGTAATCTTGATAGCGATACAAATGTTCCAACGTTTGCTAGCAACCATGGGATATCATTGGAAAGTAGTGTTAGTTCAAAACGCGTAAGCATTAGAATTACTGAGAGTCAAAATCAGGTCACTGATAGGGAAGTGATAAAGAATGTAACTGTTGAAGGCTGTAGACTAGTTCAGTTTTTCAGTTCCTGCTTCGTTTCTGTTTTTTCCTTATAAAGATTGTAACTCGACGAAGGCAATACAGTATGATAAATGAATTTTCAGCACCGTCTGCTTGGTTTGTTTGGTCGCGGTTTTTTGGCGAAACCACTGAATTATAGTGATCAAGAAAACTATCGATATTTGATGGCTTTGGATCGTTAAGTGAAATAAGAGAATAGCTCATTTATCTCTGCTTTTTTGAAGCATTTTTCTAGAACAAAAGTTTGAATTTTATTTAAGCAAAACGAGCTGAGTCTCACGTTTTAGTGTACCTCGTTTCTACATCTTCGAAAGATTCAGGTAATCAGTAAGCTTAGTTGTTAGTCTACTAGCATTTCTTGATTTCACTGCTGTTATTCTAGCTGCTGCGTGTATCTCAGTTTGGTCAGGAATCCGTATAGTGTAATGCTTGGCGAGTGAGAGATTTAATTGTTCGTTATTGAAACCAAACGTTAGGCCACATCATAATTTTTATTTATTTCTTCATGATTTCTACTGAAATCGATTGTTTTGAGTCCAGCCAAAATCAAGGGCTTTATTCTGTGGTCGACACATCATTCTCTTGAATTTTAGTCTTAATTCTTTTGTTGAATTTTTTTTAATGGATGATTCTTATTCTCTCTTTGATCTATCCATTTTTCAAAGCCCAAAATTGTGATTTTCTACTGTATATGCCTGTTGAATTTCTCAAGAAAATGATGATTACTCCACATTTTTGATGTCTAAGTTTCTGTTATAGTTTTTTTTCCTGTTTGTTTCTGACAAAAAAAAACTCCCCTGTTGCTGTGCAACGATTAAAATTTCCACGGTGCGTACGTTGAATATGAAGTGAGAAAAAGAATGGTAATAATCTTACGAGACATGCAGAATGAGGATGGGAAACGCGATGGAGTGGAGATCTATTCTAGCAGCAAGATGAGGAGACAGATGTAATCATCGTTTTCAGCTTCCTTTCAACTTTCGAAATCCATCCACCAAATACTGCCTTGTCACTATATTT